AACATCATTTCTTATTGTTTAACACAGAATTTCCAAAGTAAAAATAAAAAGTACTGGCAACAAAGGGCAACCTTGGCGAGGTCCCTTGTAAATATAATTTTTTTGTTTTAAATCCCCATTTATCATGATTCTAGCTTGCTGTTTATTGTATATGGCTCTAACCATCATAATAAAGGTCTTTCCACACTGTGATGCTGATAATTATTTTAACATAAAGTCCCAATTGATGTTATTGAATACTTTCTCAGCATCTAGAAATACCAGTGCCAACTGTTTCCCTGGATGGACTTCGAAATATTTCAGGACATTCAAAATAACCCTTAAATTATTTCTTGTCTTCTGGGTAGAAATCCAGCCTGGTCCTGGTGAATAATCTGCCCAAGGACTTGTTTGAGTCGGGTGGCTAAAATAGATGCATATAGTTTATAGTCTACATTTGGTAGAGAAATTGGGTGATAGTTTTTGATTTCCTTCTCATCTGTATCTTGTTTGTGTAAGAGAGAAATTAGTGCCTCATTTCAAGACTGCGGTATGTTTTCCTTATAGCTGATATTTTGAAGTGTACATTTAAATGGCAATATTAACTGTTCTTCAAAAACTTGACCAAACTCCGCTGATATTCCATCTGGTCTGTTTTCCATTTCTTTTCTTTTTAATTGCCTCAGATATTTCAAAAATCGATATTGGCTCATTTAGGGTTTTGCTTTGAGTTTCAATGAGTTTTTTTATATTTGTATTATTTTTGAAAATAATAATTTTTTCTTGGTTAACATCTTGCTTTTCATATAAGTTTTCACAATTTTTTTCTGAGATCTTTTTCAAGTCTTTCAATACATATTTTTCTACTCCCTGAACATCTCTCAAAATTTTTATAAATCTTTTCTCCTTTTCTTGTCTTAGTCTATAAGCCAGCCATCTTAACAGTTTGTTCACATTCTTTAAAAAAAATTGCTTTGTGTAGGTGATTTTTTTTTTTAATTTCCTGGGTCAGGAGGCAATTCATTTGATGATGTATTTTTTTTTTATTTTTAGCCTTAACTGTTCTAATGGGATTTGTCTTTTAATCGTTTCCTCCTGCTCCTTAATTTGATTTTCAGTCCACTTAATAAATTTTTGGTTGTTTTGTTTCTTCAGCCATGCATTTTGACGAATAAATATTCCCCTTGCAAATGCCTTAAACGTATCACATATTATATCCACTTTGATATCCACCTCTATATTACGTTGAAAAAAATGCTTGGAACTCTTTTTTGGTTTCCTTTACAAATTTTTCATTCTTGAAGAGTCATGTGTATAAATAACCATCTAACTCTTTTGGACGTATCTTGAAAAATAAGCAATAGTGGGTTGTGTTCTGCATATGTCGCAGGTAAAATCTCCACTTCCAATAAATTGTTTATCAATGTCGCAGTTATCCATGGCATATCTAGCCTCGACCATGATTTGTGTCTTGCTGAGTAAAAAGTAAAATCTCATTTTTTTATGATTTCTGGTCCTCCCAGCATCTATCAGATTCAGTTCATCAATTATTTTTAAGAAAGCATTAGGTAATTCGGTTCCCTGCTTTTGTTTCACTACTTGTTTTTTCCTACCCATTGCCCTATCGAAGACGGCATTTTATCCCCGACTACACAGAGCTCCTCAAAGGTTTGCTGTCTTATAATGTTCCTCAATAGTTCAAAAAAAATTCTTGCTCTTGGTTTGGGGCATATATATTAGCAATCAGCATCATTTTAGATTGTCTCTGAATTTGAACTAACAAAATCCTTCCATCTCCCAAATCATAAATCAGTTCTGGGTGAATGAATTCTTTAACATAGGTTGCAAGACCTTTTTTCTTTTTCTGCTTTTCTGCTGAGGTGAAAATTTTGCCAAGCTTTTTATTGTCCAAATTTTTTTGCTCTGATTGTTTAATATGTGTCTCTTGCAGGCAAACAATGTCCATCTTCATTTTTTTAATTGGTGAAAAAATGTCTTCTTTTTTGGGGCCATTAAGGCTGTTTACATTTATTGAAATTAATTTTAATTTACTGCTCTCCATCTTTCGTTTCTTTCTGCTTCTCAGTTATTGTTCTCCATTGAAGTCTCGTAAGTACTTGTAGTGGAACCATTTAACCTTTATGCCTGCCTTTTTAGTGTTTTTTATCTTATTTGAAGAACCTGGTTCTTGATTATCCTCCTCTTTTTCTTCCTCGGTCTCAATCATATCTTCATCATAGAATTTTAATTCTTCTCCGTATGTTTTGAGAAATGCTTCCAATTTAAAGATTGAGTTAATTTTCTGTCTTTTACCATTGAACATAAATGGCAGCAACCTTCTATAGGATATTTCATTTTTCTTTACAACTTCACCAACTTTGTATTTTTGTGTCTTTTCCCCCTCACCCTCCAAGGGACATCCTTCAGTATTCTAATTTCTATTTGTTGCAGACATAAAAGTTTTTCATTTGAAGCTTTTAAAATCTTTTCACACCAATGTTTCTTGTAAAATTTGACGTGCATCTCCCTAGGTAATTTATTTCTTTTTGCATACACCGAATTAATTCTAAATGCCTTTTCAATATCATTGTATAGTTCTTTTGAATTTTCTGCTTCAATAAACTCTGCTAGAATTTGTGCCATATCTTGTTTGGCGTCTTCATCTTTCTTTTCCAGTATATTTTGGAACCTTAGAGTGTAGGTTGCTTGGTCTATTTCCATTTTTATCAGGGTGTCTTCTGTCTCTTCTTGTCTTGTATTTAATGTTTGATTTTTTTGTTCCATATCTTCAGATTTATATTCTAATCTTCCCATAGAAGTAATTAAACCTGCAATATCTTGTTTGTTTTCCAAGGCCTGTTTTTTAATTTCTTCCGTTTGCACTGCTAATTGCTGTGTAAGACTATCTAGCTTCGTTTGAATTGGTTCAAGTGCTTTTCCCACTAAATTTACTGCAGAAGGTAGAGCTGTTGATAAGACTGCTTCAATCGCTTGACTTACTGCAACAGACACCATCTCCTGAATTAGATTTTCCAGGTCCTTTAAGTTGACCTGCACCAACTTAGGTTGCCCTGGTGATGTCAATGAAAGTTTCCTTGAGCCACTCGCCATTTTAGGTGCTTAACAATCTTAACCAATTTCTTTCTCTTTTTAATTTTTTTATTTTCTTAGCCTAACCTATCACATACTTGTAACTATCTTATATTACCTATCTGTTATCTAGCTATCTAGCGGACTTAGCATTTCTTAACTACCTACCTTTACTAACTTATAAGAACTAACCTAACACTCTGTTACTATCACAACCTTTTTGCAACTATTCTAGCCTTTTACCACAATTACTAATTCCAAAAAGTGGGTAGATATATATGTTATAAATACTAACTCTAATTAATTTCCTTATTATATCCCAACCAAATAAATAACAATGATTTAAATTATAAGCAATTCCTTAGAAGCTTTATAGTGAAACAGAAAAAGGCAGTGCACTTAAAGAGAAGAAAGAGGAGGACAGAGCACAGATGGAGGAAAAAATAAAAGAGAGAAAAAAACAGCAAACAGAAAAAAAAGAAGAAAAGGAAGAAATAAATAATAATACAGCTTCCTCTTCTTTTCTTCTGCGCTCCTAATATTGGGTTAAGATATTCCAGGCTATTTATTTCCAAAAAGGAAGAACAACAGCTTGGATGTCTTCACCACTTCTTGCCAGTCCATAACAAGCACAAAAAAGAAGCTTTGTCTCCCGGTATCTATCTAGTTATTTCTTGTTAGACTCGAAGCCCGAGAGGAAGAGAATGCCCCTTTAAGTATGTAGTAAGCAGACACGGTCCGTCCAAATCTGCGTTCAAAATAATCGGGGCTGAAAGATCCTTTTGACCAATTATGGTACTTCCGAGAATGTCTCCCAGGAATACGTTTTAGTCCATAAGTGCTCCCAGTTCTTAACAAAAAAGAGAGTTTTGGGTGGAACAAGAATGTATAAACATTACTCGCCCTGTCAAGGATCTTTTCAGTGCCTGAATAAGAGTAATCGGGCACTTTTCCCAGCCGCTTATCCAAGGCAGAAATTAGCCACCACCCTCCTTGCTCCTCGCCCTTGACTTCTCAGACAATTAAGGGCTAACTTCCCAAAAATAAGGAAGAAGAGGAAAATACAACACAAAAGGGTCAGTTCTTAGCTTACAAATGCCGTTGACTTTTAAGGTAGGTAGGAACCTTGCCCGGTCATCTCCAACATGGATTCAAAGCTGTCTTTGAACTGCTCTTCTGGTCCTTGTATCAGAGCAATTCGGTTTTGATCATGAGTCACTCACGGCTGTACTCCGACTTCAGCTCCCTGCCTGAGTCTCCCTCTAGGAAAACTCAGTGGGGTCCCTAGGAGTCAAAGATCCTCTTGGTGACCTCCTCACAGACCAAAAGCTTTGGCAGCTAAATGGCGTACCCCCGTCGCTGTCCGAGATCATCGCATCGCAGACCGGAAGTCGTTGCTCTTCTGAAATAAGTAGTTCTTGCAAGTGTTTAAAGGCAAAGGCTGCAATCCTTAAGCGATGCTCCCTAGTTTCAGGGTACATATTACTGGATTTCGCTAGTGCTTAAGTGAGACTGTTCCAGGGGGAGTTGCTTGTAGATTGTAGCCAACAGTAGTAGTTTTTCTTGGCATGATGCCATGTCTCCTGTTCTTTATACCTTCATAGAGTTTTGTAAATATTTTATTTTAAAAAAGAAGTTGGTGGAAGGCAGCTTGAAGCACTATGGCTTTTTTACTTTGGGAAGGCAAGAGAATGAAAAGGTAGAAAAAGTTTTGAAATTAAAAGTAGGCAATTATGTGAACCTTAGATCCAAACTACATGTTACATATACCACATGATTGCCATTGGGGCTTGCAGCCCTACACCAGCTGTGAGTTCCCAATGGGGAACTCGATTTGGAAGTGCCACAGGGTCTAATGTGAATGAAGAAAGTTATCTTGCTTTTGATGTTTTCTTTTTAGCCAGTCCTCTAAAATATTTTGTTTTTTCCAGGTGGTTATGTACATTGGTCAAGTCACAAAGGACCTACTAAAGTGGCCTCGTCCTTGTTCACCGCCTGTTGTGAAGCTTGAAAAAAGAGCAATCGCAGAATATGGAATGCCATCCACACATGCAATGGCATCAACAACTATCTCATTTACTTTTGTTATTGCGACCATGAACATATATAAGGTGGGAACCTTCTGATCCATCCAGACAAACAGAAACAGAAGTCTAACCCTGCTATTGTGGCTAGGAACTGAGGCCTAGTGTGTTCTTCCTTCCCTACCCCGTCACACAAACTTCTCAGCTGATACTGCTTCACGGTAGTGGGGCAGAAGCTGTCCGTGCAGCGTAACTCAGATGTCTTTGTCCTACTTGTTTCCACTTTTCCAGTTGCTTGAAGACAAATTGGGCCTGTGCTAAAAAAACTAACTCCTATTTATATAATAGCATTGGGATGCTTGTAGCTTGATTTGTAATCTCTTTGGTGTAGTGGTTAAGTGTGCGGACTCTAATCTGGGAGAACCGGGTTTGATTCCCCACCTCCACTTGCACCTGCTGATGTGACCTTGGGTCAGTCACAAGCTCTGGCACAGCTGTCCTTGGAAAAGAGCAGTTTGTGTCAGAGTTCTCTCAGCCCCACCCACCTCACAGGATGTCTGTTGTGGGGAGGGGAAGGGAAAGGAGTTTGTAAGCCGCTCTGAGACTCCAAGTGAAGGGCGGGGTATAAATCCAATCTCCTCCTCCTCCTCTTTCCAAATAGTTGCCTCCAATTGAATTTGCCCTTTCATGAGTCTGGCTTTTTCAGAAACATTTCACTGTCAGGTCTTATTTATGCATATTTATAGCATGTCTATCACTTGGTATACTGAATTTTATTTGGTATTCTGTTACCTAGTCATTTACCTTGGAAGGGATTCATTTGAAGTTCTTCAGCGTCCACTTCTGTTTATTTCCCTGTTTACTTATTTAATGTCAATTGCAGACCAGATTTTCTCTACTGTAGAATGTCTGATAGCAGATATTTACTTGAATAAATAGCACCATAATAGCAGTGTTTCAAATAGAGCTAAGGAAGAATACCATCTCCACTCATTGTATCTACTTCTTAAGGATGTCTGTCCTTGGGGAGGGGCTGTAGTTCAGACAGAAAATCTGCTTTGCATGCAGAACATCCCAAGCTTAATACGTGACATATCCATTTTGGGGGGAGCGGAAAGACTAAGTAATAGATGATGTGACTTCATTAGACCAATGGACATTAAATATAAGGCAGCTTTGTTTGTTCAGTGTGAATGTGAAAAGTGTAGGTTTGTAAATGCAGTGTAAATTTTAAATTCTTGCATTGCTGGGTGTCAGTTCCAGCTGTAAAGCTGATTTTTTAAAATCCTTGCAGGTAATTGAGTTCTAATGAAAATGTGACTGCATCTCTAAAAGATTTGTCAGTCTAGGCTGTTTGGGGAGCTGATTCGCACAACTTCTGTTACTCCAGAATTGACCGAATTCTGAATCATATGTAGACTAGCCATTGATAAATCAGGTAGGCACTAGACATGTGTGGTTACTATAAATGCTGGCTGTTAGTTTTCCCCCTCTTATTTTTGCAGTACCACTTTGAGCTAGGACTGATGGGAGCCTTTGTATTTTCAACACTGGTAGGCCTCAGCAGAATTTACACTGGAATGCACACAGTGCTGGTAAGTTGTGTTCCTGGTGCACATAACCACATGTAGTTGTTTTTATACTGTGTGTATATCTTGATATGCCTAATAAGTAAATGCTAGAAATATATTAAGAGTTAAGGTCCCTCCAAATAACATGCAGGTCCAATTTTATTTTATTTTTTGTCTATGTGCTGCCGAAGCGAGCACAACATGCAGTTAACTTTTTCTAACTCCCTTTTTCTAACTCCCTTTTTCTAACTCTGCCCTGTCCCTCCTGCACTAATGCTGCAAATGGCTAATTCTTTTTCCAAAAGCTCAGTACAAACAGACACTCAATATACATACTCATGCATATAAATCTATACACAAAACAAATTCCCCAGTACTTTTATAAGGAATCATAATAAGCAAATTGGTATATCTTATCATATATATCTTCATTTAAAAATGAATAATGTCCAATATTTAATAAATAAATCAGGTTCCATAGAGTTACTCCTACTAGCCCTTTGATAGTATGTTAATTTAGATAATAGTGCAATAAGCCGAATCTTGTTAAACTACTCATTGAAAGTTGGTGATTCTGGCTTTTTCCAGTTTATTGCAATAACTGTTCCTGCAGCTGTAAATAAACTTAATACTAATTCCAAATCTGAATTGTCTACATAACCTTTCAAAAAAAACCCAGAAAAACCCAGAAACATTAATATTGGTTAGAAAGGTATGTTTCCACCCAGCATTTCACTAACATAACTAACCATACTGTTCCAAAATGTCTGAATCATAGAGCAAGACCAGAAAACATGGAACACATCTGCAGAGGAACTATTACATCTCCAGCACTTAATCCTCTGTTTTACTCAGCGTTCATTTAGTAGAAAAAGAGGTGCAGGTGCTCATTTGCATAGCTCATTTGCATATGTCACACCCCCTGACAAAGGGCAGGCATGCAAGCATGCCTGGGTTCCCTGCCTGATCTTCTCGAGATCGTGCAGCAAACCCATGCATTTGGGGCACCTAGAGAAGATCGGGCAGGGAACCCAGGCATTTAAATCCCCCTCACTTCCCCCAGTTTCTCCACAAAAGTGGAGAGGCTCAGGGAAAAAATGGAGCATATCTGCCTGCCTCCCCTTCACCTCCCCAGCCAACTTGCCACGGCGGGCGGGCTGGCTGGAGAAGGGAAGAGAAGGGCAGGCAGGCAGACATGCCTGGGTTTCCTGCCCGATCTTCTCCAGGTGCCCTGCAGCAGGGAGATGATTGGGCAGGGAACCCAGGCATGTTTAAAATGCCTTTCTTTCTTTCTCTGGGGAAGGAAAGAAAGGCATTTAACTCCCCCCAGGTGGCGGGGGGGGGGTTCTGCAGGCCTTTTCTGGCTTGTCTGCCTTGGCAGGCGGGCCTCAAAAGGCAGGGGGGGCCACCCCTGGGCTCCTTATTGCCGGAGCGCTGTTTCGGCACGCTCTGGCAGGAAATGACCCCTGGTTGTACTATATATAAGGGTTAATTTATGGGATCACTGCCTTGTCGTGGCGAGGGGGCTTGCGCAGTTCAATGAAGCTGTGGGCTATGCCGTGAAGGGCCACCCAAGACGGACAGGCCACAGCAGAGAACTCAGACCAAGCGTGATCCACCTGGAGAAGGAAATGGCAACCCACTCCAGTATGTTTGCCAAGAAAACCCCATGGACAGTATCAAAAGGCTAAAAGATATGACGCCGGAAGATGAGCCCCTCAGGTCGGAAGGTGTCCAATATGCTACTGAGGAAGAGCAGAGGACAAGTACAAGTAACCCCAGAAAGAGTGAAGCGGCTGGGCCAAAGCCGAAAGGACGCTCAGTTGTGGATGTGTCTGATGGTGAAAGGAAAGTCCGATGCTGCAAAGAACAATACTGCATAGGAACCTGGAATGTAAGATCTATGAATCAAGGTAAGCTTGACGTGGTCAAAAATGAGATGGCAAGACTGAACATCGATATCCTAGGAATCAGTGAACTAAAGTGGACAGGAATGGGCGAATTTAACTCAGAAGACCATTATATCTACTACTGTGGCCAGGAATCTCGTAGAAAAAATGGTGTGGCCTTTATAGTCAACAAGAGAGTGCAAAAGGCAGTACTGGGATACAATCTCAAAAATGACAGAATGATTTCTGTCCGATTCCAAGGCAAACCATTCAACATCACAGTAATCCAAGTCTATGCCCCAACCACTGATGCAGAAGAGGCTGAAGTGGACCGGTTCTATGAAGACCTACAACACCTCCTAGAACTAACACCAAAAAATGATGTCCTCATCATCATAGGGGACTGGAATGCTAAAGTAGGAAGTCAAAAGGTAACTGGAATAACAGACAAGTTTGGCCTTGGAAAGCAAAATGAAGCAGGGCAAAGGTTAACAGAGTTTTGTCAAGAGAACACACTGGTCATAGCGAACACCCTTTTCCAACAACCTAAGAGGCGACTCTACACATGGACATCACCAGATGGGCAACACCGAAATCAGATTGACTATATAATTTGCAGTCAAAGATGGAGAAGCTCTATCCAGTCAGTAAAAACAAGACCTGGAGCTGACTGTGGTTCAGATCATGAGCTACTCATTGCAAAATTCAGACTTAAACTGAAGAAAATTGGGAAAACCACGAGGCCATTCAGGTTTGACCTAGATCGCATCCCTGATGAATATACAGTAGAGGTGAAGAATAGATTCAAGGGTCTGGATTTGATAGATAGAGTGCCTGAAGAACTATGGACGGAGGTTCGTGACATTGTACAGGAGGCAGCAATCACCACCATACCAAAGAAAAAGAAATGCAAGAAAGCAAAATGGCTTTCTGATGAGGCTTTACAAATAGCAGAGGAAAGAAGGAAAGCGAAAGGCAAAGGCGAAAAGGAAAGATTTACCCAACTGAACGCAGATTTCCAGAGAACAGCAAGGAGAGATAAGGAGGCCTTCCTGAATGAACAGTGCAAAGTAATAGAAGAAAACAATAGAATGGGAAGGACTAGAGATCTCTTCAAGAAAATTGGAGAAATCAAGGGAGCGTTCCATGCAAAGCTGGCCATGATAAAGGACAAAAACGGTAGGGACCTAACAGAAGCAGAAGAGATTAGGAAAAGATGGCAAGAATACACAGAAGAACTATACAAGAAAGACCTCGATGTCCTTGACAACCACGACGGTATAATCACTGACCTCGAGCCAGACATCCTGGAATGTGAAGTTAAATGGGCCTTAGAAAGCATTACTAACAACAAAGCTAGTGGAGGTGATGGTATTCCAGCTGAGCTATTCAAAGTCTTATGACACTGTCTAACCATCTCATCCTTTGCCGTCCCCGTCTTCTTTGACCTTCAATCTTTCCCAGCATCAGGGTTTTCTCCAGTGAGTGCAAACATGTCTTTCAAATGCCGGGAAAGATGCCTGGCTTTAAAGTTTGATGCGAACGTATCAAGCAAGCTAGTACTGTGAAAGGGTCATTATGGCTCCTGATTCTGCCACTTTCTCCAGATACTTGGTGACATATCTCTGCAGGTCTGCTATTGGTTCACTGACTTCAGCCTTTGAGAAGTTCCTGGTGGTGATGCACTGTGCTAAAACTGATGCTGCTTTTGGAAGAGCAGTTCTTCAGAGCCTGTTTCTTCAAGACGACCTGCAGATAACATCAGACTTCACGTTCCTGGGATCCCAGATCACCGCAGACTGTGACTGCAGCCATGAAATTAAAAGACGCCTGCTCCTTGGGAGGAAAGCGATGGCGAACCTAAACAGCATGATAAAAAGTAGAGACATCACCCTGCCAACAAAAGTCCGCATGGTCAAAGCAATGGTATTCCCAGTAGTCATGTATGGCTGCGAGAGCTGGACTATAAGGAAGGCCGAGCGCCGAAGAATAGATTCTTTTGAACTATGGTGCTGGAGGAGACTCTTGAGAGTCCCTTGGACTGCAAGAAGAACAAATCAGTCAATCCTCAAAGAAATCAACCCTGACTGTTCCCTGGAAGGCCAGATAATGAAACTGAAGCTCAAATACTTTGGCCACCAAATGAGAAGGGAGCACTCACTGGAGAAGACCCTGATGCTTGGAAAGATTGAAGGTCAAAGAAGACGGGGACGGCAAAGGATGAGATGGTTAGACAGTGTCATCGATGCAACGAACATGAAGTTGAGCCAACTTCAGAGGACGGCAGAAGACCGGAAGGCCTGGAGAGAGCTCGTCCATGGGGTCGCGAAGAGTCGGACTCGACTGTGCGACTGAACAACAACAACTATTGGAGAAGTAATTTATACATGTTTTCTTTAAGACTAGTTGACAGTAGTCTAGAAGCAGCTCTTTCCCAAAGCCAACCCTATTCCTCTTCTTTGACCATAATTTGCAAATCCTTTCCCCCTTTTCGAGTATAGCTCAATGGACTACTGTCGAGTATAGCTCAATGGACTACTGTCCGTAGTAATTAGCCAAGAATACAACCATGCAGTAACACCTTTGACATTACCAGAGAACAAGAATTCAAAAGATGTTTTAGATCTTAAACCTGCATGTACTAAAATGTCTGATTTAAAAAAAAACACACACCCTGAAACAGTTTGAGCAGAACTCTTGAATCTGATAGTATTTCACACTGAATGTGTTCTGTACACACATTGCTTACTGTTCTGTAAAATCTCAAGTAGGTGTTTTGTAGTTCAGGCACACAAATCCAACTGTTAAGGGAATTGATTTACTTCTTAAAACTCTGTTTTATCAGCAGTGTATATTTTTGAGTATAGGCTACTCTTCCTTTTTCATAACTTAACATGTTCAAGGAAGATTTATGAGCAAATTATTTGTTCTTGTCTTTAATAGTCGGCTGTAATATCCATACGGATTTTCAGTTCTGACGCAAGATTTGCCCCATGCACCCATCTAAAGAAGATACAAAACAACAGCTTGGGTTTAACTAATTTATTTAAATAAACTGATCTGCATAATATTTAAATATGCTAACATATTTAAATGGGCGGGTTGTGCTAAGGCAGCCTGTTCGCAGCTGCCTTT